CATTTATAACATCATTCCCAGGCCATGCAAAATTAGCCTGCTATATTTGGTTAAACATTTAACTAACTCACCCATCATGTCTTGGCAGGGCCAGACCAAATGATTTCGCAGGCCTTATAGGGACAATGGGCTAGATCATGGGTGGGCAAACTTTCTGACTCGAGGGCCACAATGGGTTCTTAAACTGGACCAGAGGGCCAGAACAAAAGCATGGATGGAGTGTTTGTGTGAACTAATATAAATTCAAAGTAAACATCATTACACTTCCCCCATATAAAGTAACTGATCACATTAACTCCAGCAAATTGCTATTTGTTTACTGGACATTTTACAACAGCAGCTCCCACCTTAATGTCTTCATCCCTAGTGCCTACACTTTTACTGTAAGTGGGCATGCAGCTATCAAGAGAAAGAGAAACACAAGGAATTAGCTTACACTACAAAAGAGGAGTCCTCATGATATATGCTTAGATGAAGCTGCATCTGCTATATACTGTGAGCCTGCAGCTTTCAATTTGTTCCCCTCCTGCCTCCACCCAGTATGCGGACCCTGAATACAGGACAGGATAGGTTTGCGGCATGGATTTTATAAATAGATTACTTTTGTTTTTATTTGTACTTGTTTTTTAATTTTAATGTTTAGAATTCAGTAAAATTGTTCTGACTTCATTGTATGTAAGATCATCTTCTACTATAGCAAATGATATTATTTCATAACTAGAGGCCCGATGTATGAAGATTCCTACAAGAATAGGCCTTCCTTCCCCTGGCTGCCGGCACTGCCTTCGTTCCGGCCGGAGCTGCCTTTCCTCCTTCACTCTGGCCCAGAGCCACCTTTCCACCTTCCCACACTGCCCAGAGGCCCAGAGCGGCTGGGGTGGTGCGGAATGCCTGCGTTGTCGCCATGGCAACAACGCAAGCATCCTGCCCTGCCCCCAGGCGAGTCTGCGTGCATGCGCACTGCCCACAGGCCTGCCAGCTTTGTTGGGTTAATTTGCATACCCACTCCTGATTGGCTGGTGGGCGTCATGAAGGGAAGGTCAATTTACATCTTTCTCTTTCATTAGTGTAGATAATGAAAAAAACACATTTATATATATACCAGAGGCCCAATGCACGAAATTCACGCACTGGGGGCAAGAGGGCGGGTCCCTCAGCCCAGGCTGCACCCTCTCGCAGTCCAGGAGCCCTCAGGGGATGTCCCACTGATGGCTTAGGCCCGCTCCCCATAAGGAGCGGGCCTAAGCCATCAGCTGGACATCCTTAGCACTGCAGCGTAGGCGCGAGAGGCTCCCACAATCGCTGCTGGGCTAGCCAGCTGTGAGCCTGGCTTCTGGCTGAG